TTAAGCCTGACAGCTTCTCAATTCTTAAAAGTTCTGAAATGATCTGTAGTGATATTAATGAATAAAATCTTTTGATGTTGTACAATGAAATGTACCTTTAGAAGATCTGCTGTACTTAAGTAAACCAATATTTTCTATGTGAAACATGCATGAGTAAAAGAGCCTTTCAAAGTAAAAACAGACCTGTGAATTTTTTTTTTGAAAGCAGTACTTACTGAGAGGACAGAAAAGCTTCCACAATGGTAGGGGACCCGAAGGGATTGCCCAGAGCTGTGAATTTTAATGTAAGAGAGTCTGAAAAGTTCATTGATATGGTTTCAGAATCTACAATGCAACCAACCTATAAGAAACTATGATTTCTTGAGTTTTGGTGTAGTATCAAAGAAGAAAACCTACAATTATCTGGAAAGCCTATTAAAATACTCCTGTCTTTTCTAGCTACATATCTGCAAGAGGATATACTTCCTTCATATTCTTCAAAGGGACTGTTTACTGGAAGCCTTACTGATAGCATCAACAGCTGATTAACACATATTTTGTCTATTATATGTATTCTATACTGTATTCTTACAATAAAGCTAGAGAAAAGAAAATGTTATTAAGAAAACCATAGGCCAGGCTCGGTGGCTCAGCCTGTAATCCCAGCACTTTGAGAGGCCAAGGCGAGTGGATTGCCTGAGCCCACAGGTTCGAGACCAGTACAAGCAACTTGGCAAGACCTTGTCTCTGCAATAAATAAAAAATTAGCTGGGTGTGGTAGCGCGTGCCTGTAGTTCCGGCTACTTGGAAGGCTGAGGTGGAAGGATCGCCAGAGCCCAGCAGGTAGACACTGGGGTGGCCATGAGTGTGCCACTGCACTCCAGCCTGGGCGACAGAGTAAGACTCCAACTCAAAAATAAAAATAAAAAATAAAATTATAAGGAAAAGAAAATACATTTACTATTCATTAAGTGGAAGTGATCATCATAAAGGTCTTCATCCTTGTTTTCATGTAGAGTAGGTTAAGGAGGAAGAGGAGGGGCTGGTTTTGTTGTCTCAAGGGTGGCAGAGGCAGAAGAAAATCCATGTCCAAGTGAACTCACACGGTTCAAATCCATGTTGCTCAAAGGTCAACTGTATATCTATATAGCTGTGCATTTAGGTCTCTCTCTATATATACTACTGGTCTGTCTCTCTGGAGAATTTTGGCTAATATAGTAGATATGTTTAATATTCAATAGAAGGTTTGGAAAGGTTAAAGATATTCACGAAATGTACAACAACAAAAAAGAAAAGATAGGAGAAATAATAAGAAAAATTAGAAGATAAATCCATAAAGGCCAATGTCTGAATAATAACAGTTCTAGAGATAGAACAGAGATGTGACTATAGTAAACAAGAAAAAAATTCAAGAAAACTTCTCAGAACTGAAATACAAGAATTTCCACATTATTCTCAAAACAATGAATGAAGATCCACACCAATGTACACCTACATGAAATATCACAAATCTGAATGACATGCGATTTCTCGATAGCAACATAGAAAGCTAAAAAAGACAATGGAGAAATACCTTTAAAATTCTAAGGGAAGGGCAACCCCTTCGGGTCCCCTCCCACTGTGGGAGCTTTTCTATTCTCTCAATAAATCCTACTTTCAAAAAAAAAATTCTAAGGGAAAACTGTCTCCAACATAGAATTTTATATCTATCAATCAAATGTAAGGGCAGTATAAAGTCACTGTCAGACACAAGAGTTCCTAAAATTTTACTTTGCCTATATGCTTTCTCAGAAAGCTACTGAAGGATGCAATCTAACAGCAACAAAGACAAAAGGAACATATAAAGAAAAAGGAAAACATAGGCTTTAGGAAATATGGAACACAACTTGAGCAAGACAAGTAATACCTATGATAAAAATAAAGAATTTATTCTTTATTCTGAGCATCCAGCCCACACTGGAGCATGGGACCAGTAGGTGAGGGAGTACTTCAGAAAAATTATCTTGAAGAAAAGAAATAGAAACAGAGAATACCTGATGATTTTGCATTAACTGAAAGAAGACTGACCTTTAGGCCAGAAAGTTTAGGGATGAATTAAAGACAGGTTTATAGAACACAAAGCACAAAAGAAAGGCAATTATTAATTGCAGGAAAAAGAAAAAAATGTAAAAAGGAGAAATGTAATCATAATACTAATCATAATATACTACATTATATATACATACATGTATATAAAATTTCCACAGTCAAAATAAACACTTAATATTTATTTAACCTAAAAGTATAATTTTGTTGGAAGACTAGGAGGAAGAAAAGTTGAAGAGTATAAAAGAATAAAATCGGTGGGCATGGTGGCTCAAGCCTGTAATCCCAGCACTTTGGGAGGCCGAGGTGAGAGTACTGCCTGAGCCCCGGGGTTCGAGACAAGGCAACTTGGTGAGACCTCGTCTCTACAATATATCAAAAAATTAGCCAGGCATGATAGCACATACCTGTTGTTCTGGCTATTTGGAAGGTTGAGGTGGAATGTCTGCCTGAGCCCAGCAGGTCGACACTGGAGTGGCCGTGAGCATGCCACTGCACTCCAGCCTGGGCGACAGAGTGAGACTCAGACTCAAAAAACAAATAAATAAATAAAGTCCTCTTCTTCCATAATAGAAAGTAATTAAACAGTATCTAAAATTGAAAAATCAGAAAGAACATCTTAAACATATTATTTCAGAATATACAGCAATTTTTTTAATGATGAAAAGTCTGAAAGTGGTAAGGTATTGCTGTTTTTTGTTATAACTCTTATAGATCCATTTGACTTTTAAAATCTGTAGCTAAGAAAAATAAACATTGGGCTGGGTGCAGTGTTTGGGAGGCCAAAGAGGGAGGATTGCTTGAGGTCAGGAGTTCAATATCAGCCTGGGCAACATAGCAAGACTTCATCTCTACAAAAAAAAATCAAAAAATGAGCCCAGCATGGTGGTGAGTACCTATAGTCCCAGCCACTTGGGAAGTTGGAGGATTGCCTTAGCCCGGAAGGTCTAGGCTATGGTGAGCTGTGATCATGCCACTGCCCTCTAGCCTGAGTGACAGAGTAAGACCCCCAACTCGAAAATAAAATAAAAGAAACATCAAAAATTTTAAATCCAATAATTCTTTGGACTTTCTTTAATGGAAGAAGTGGAAATTTGCACTCTTAGGATCTTTCCTCTTATCCATTATTTGTGACATCTTGTTTTCCTAAAAGAATGTTTCTGTTGTTTCATCTATTTATTACTTGTAAGACTTTTTTGTATTTTTTCTTTCACCAACGTACATAGTCAACTTTGTTCCTGTTAATGTTCTTAATTAACTCCTTTTTCAATGGATTTATTTATATGCCTTACTTCACATGTTTTGGTTTTTTTTTTTTATCATGTTGGTATATTTATATGTAAATACAAAACTGTATCACTGTAAGTTATTGAATATGAACATTACAATTATTTTCTGAATCTGACTCAGTCCACTGATGTTAAATACAAAATGAAATGACTGTAAAAAATAAGAATATACACATTCAAAGCACTTATTACAGTATAAAATTATTGAGGTCTGATCAGCTACCAACCTCTTCTGTGATGGGGGAAGATTTAGGGGTTCTGGGTGGGTATTTTCATGGTAATATGACATGCTGAGGACTTGATTCCTTCCCTGGTACCACAGGGTGAGTGGGCTGGGAGCAGGCAGGGACACATTGGGTGGGCAGGCGACAAACAGTGATTGCAGGGGACCACCTCACCCAGTCAGGGGATCAAGCTTATTGGCACACAACCCACCCAGCTTTGAGCTCCAGGGTCTGGTAGGCTCAGAAGCAGGAGAGACGGGCATCTCACTAGCCAGAGCCAGGATGCATAAAGAAAGGAACCATCCAGCAAAAGAAAAAGGAACCATCCAGCTCATCCTCCTGGGGAGGGAGTCTCATAATAGTTTCTTTGGGCTCCCTTCTTTCCTTTTAAGACTTCGTACCGATTGCTTTGGGCTGGCCAGTGAGTTCATCTCTACCCCTGGTCTCCATCTCTGGGGCAGTGAGAGGAAGTGAGGGGATGGATCACAGTGGAGGTCTGTTCCCAAAATGGCCAAGTAAACAGAAAAATCATCAGGAAAGTGCAAACTATGCAGAGTCAACCCAGTGTCACCACAAACCAATATCCTTGACTACAACAGGCAGCATCCAGAGGAAGATAAGTCACTACATAAGCATGAGGGCCTGTGGCTGGAGCACGGAGATGTGTGTGTGTCCTCTTTCCCAATCTGCAGTGTGACAGCAAGAGACATGATCCCCAACCCCAGCTAGTCCAGGACAAACAGTAGGATCCAAGAGGAAAGGAATTTGGAGTTGCAACATGGAGCCCTAGGAACATCTACGAAGGAGAAGCTGTGTGTATATGTATTTATAGAATACGGTCATATTATCACACACAATATATATTATATACACACGTACATGTGGACCCATACACAGAAGCGCACATACATCCACGCACACAACAGGAGGAAGGACAGAAGACACTGGAATACACGCCCTATGTAGAAACGTGCTTGGCACTCAGGACGATCTCTAGAATATGTAACTTGGTCAAGCTCTCTGGGGAGGAAGGCAGAAGCCCACCAGCCCTCCCCGTGAAATCCTAGCAAAGGGAAGGAGTGGGAGAAAGGAGACCTCCAGGAAGAGAATGGCAGTGGGCAGGGGACGGGAGGTCCTTACCCACTTACCTCGGGGCCCCTGGCAAAAATCAATAGCCACAACTTGGTTTTAATAAGACACAGTTTAATAGCAGGTGCTAGGAATTAAGAACACATTGCTGCTGGTCCTTTCTAGTGGCAACATCCCCACATTTATCTAGCCAAAGGAAAGACTGCCTTGCGTGCAGGTGTGTGCCGGGAGACAAGAAAAGGAGGTTGATCCATGGCTTCAGCATAACTGATGGCAACCTGAGGCTCACGGTGTCCAGGAAGGCTGGCCAGCAGGTGGAAGGCTCGGGGGAGGGTTACTGACCCTCCACGGCCAGCAGGTTGTGGCCAGAGGATACCATGCCCTCCTCTGCAAACTCCAGGATGGCCTTGTAGCAAAAATAGTACTGTTCAGGGGTCTGGGCGCTGAAGGCCCTCTGGGTCCTCATGCGTGACACCATCTGGAACACATTAAGGGTGCCAAGCTCCTCCAGCTGTGCCAGGCAGATGTCCAGTGAGCAGAAGGTACCTGTCCTGCCAATGCCTGCACTGCAGTGGACCACGATGGGGGGCTCAGGGCACTGCCCTTTGGCACGTGTACCCAGGTTGCTCACGGCCAGACTCTGCTGGTGTCTGACCACCCTCAGGAAGTCAATGAGAGAAGCGGCTGAGGAAGGCACACCATAATCTGGCCAGCTCAGGAACTGGAAGTGGGTCACCTGGCATTTCTGCCGCTCCTCTGTGTTGTGAATCTCCAGCGTGGTTTTCTTATAATGGTTCATGTTCTCCACGCCAAGATTGGTCACCATGAGGAAGCCAAATCGGATCCGAGAGTCTTTCTCTAAAGGCCAGTACTGGCCACACTTTCTCCTTCCACCTTCCTCAAGGCGAGTGGTCATGACAATCACCAAGACTTTTTGCTCCCACATCATGAGCCAGAAATCCTGGTAAGTGTTCTCCAAAGGGCCTTGTGTACCAATGTAAGCATTCTTCTGCTTGTAGCCATCCATGAAACTGGCATTGATGTAATCTGTCTGAGTAGGGCCACTTCGCTTCGTCAGCTTCACTCTGGTTTGGTCCAGGCAGGGTACATCCCCATAACGGTTCTTTTCCGGGTTTCCTGGGGACATGGAACAGTGGAAAGTGCCAACGGGGTTCTGACGGCGGATGTCTTCATACTCCTCATATATTCCCTGCTTCTGCCTGGTGTTCACATAATCCACCAGCTCTTGGATGGTCATGGCATGGGGACCTGGAACATGTACTGAGTCCCAGTCTAAGGCAGGAGGGAGGGAGAACAGGATGATCTCATCGAAGGGATCTGGGTGGCAGTTCACCTGGGGTAGGAACTGGAAATTCCAAGTGGCGAGGTCAATTTTGTCGTACCCACCCAGGTTTTCTGGAAGGCACTCCCTGGGTAGGTGCTGGGTGACCTCGGATGTCTTTAATATCTGAATCCTCTCGCAGACTTTGTCCTTCAGGAGGAGGCTGATAGAATAGGGCACTCGGAACCAGATGGGAGCGCCCACAATCAGCACCTTCTTCAAGCGAACTGGAAATGTTTCCTTCAGCAGGTTCAGGACTTTCTTGCCAAGATCCAGTTCGAAATTGGTATAATTAGAACCACACATGTCATAGATAAACACCAATCCATTCCTTTGAGTTTCAAAGCTGTCCACAGCTCTGTCTAGCAAGTAAAACAGAGCCTGAAGGACCACGTGCTGGACTGACTTGTGGGGATGATGCAGCGTGGCAGTGAAGAGGGCAATGGAGGCTCCTGTGGGGTCCCGAACATTCGAGATGGTGAACATTCCACTGAGGATCTCAGAACGGAGCGGCTCCTCGTGAGGCTTCAGCTTCACAATGCCTGCCTTCCTTCGAGTTTCTCTGTAGAAGTGGAAGAGCTCAATAGCACGGAGCACATCAAACTTCCTGGCCATGAGAAACTTGACTGCCACATTCCAAGAGAGCGGGAAGACGTTGTACTGAACTGTCCATTTGTTAATCTCTTCGAGAAACTGCTTGGTGGCCTGAACCTGCTCCGGGGTCAGCTCCGGCGCCATGTCGGGCCAGG